GTGATGGGGGTTAACTGTGACGGACACCAGGTTCTTGGGCTCTGGTCCTTCTGGTCACACTTTGCTTGTCCCATTGATTAGCATGTTATTTGGTGTATTACTGTGATGACCCATTGGCTACTGTGGTAACTGCCGTGGACTCCCTGGTGGCCTTGGGTGGCGGTGTGGTGACAGCAACTCCGCTGGGTGCACTGTGGAAGCTGCCATACTGAGTGAAGCCATTGGCTGACCCAGTGGGTCTCCATGTTGGATGACATCTTGTGTGGCCCTTCGGAAGCTGTGATGGACATCTGGATTGACCGTCTGAATGTGTGGCTGTCACGCCACATCTTTTTCGGCCCACTGTTTCCTGGGATCACTTCTTTTGTTTTGGCAGACTTCTTGATATAACAGATGCCAAGTTGGCCACCACATTACACGATGTCTTTTTGACACACTGGATGCACGGAGGGCCACCATATTGGCAAGGTGACATCACAGCTGTTACCCACCACGATGGCAACCACAGGCCTGTCATCACCATCTTCTTGGTGTGGGTCGGGTGAGGGATAGAGTCGAGGAGACACTGTGATTTTTCTCTGAAGCCCATCCCCACCCTGGCTATGAGAAAGGGCTGGTGTGGGGGACTCTTCCTGAGGTCAAGTTCTTGCCTGGGACTTGGGATACTGGCTGGGTTTGGCCATTAAAAAAACACCTTTTCGGTCTCATGAGTGTCTCTTTCTTTGGGGGACCCTGTGGGCTCAAACCCCTAAATTTGTGTTCCTGTGATCTTCCCATCCTGGAGAGCTGGTGGCCTCTGGGGGGGGAGGGGTTAGGGGAATGCAGCAACGTGACCTTTGGCTCTTTGTTGTCCCTGACCCCAAGGACAGTTTGCTCAGACAGCAGCCCCCGCAGTAAGGGAGCCAGAGGGGAGGTGGCTTTGCCAGTGTCCAAGGCCATCGCCCCACCCCCACTTTGCAGACACACACAACACAACACGGGGGCACGTACACCTGTGTGTGCGCGCACACACACACACACCTGGAACTCTGAGGCTCCAGGAACCCATGGAAACTGCAGGTTCACTTTGGGGGAAGAATGGGAAAGGATAGAAGACTTGAGGACTTGAGGGTGTGTGTGTGTGTGTGTGTGAATTTTTTTTACTTATTTTTGAAAAATGGCTCTAGCCGGGGTCCTCAACCTCATGAAAATCTTGCTTCTGGCTTATACTGATTTATTCTGGTGTTTTCGGTGCTGGGGATGGAACCCAGTGCCTGGAGCACTGAAGCATGTGAAGCAAGCACTGACCTACTGAGCTAGGTCCACTCTGGTCCTGTCACCGTCTCTCTATCCGCCCCCCTTGGCTCTTTTTCTCTGGCCTCCCTCCCTCTCCTGGTTCACAGTTTCTGCTTCTACCTGCCGCCTGGCAGGCGGGTCCCTCTATTTCTGTCGCAGTCCCGCCTTGCCCGGCTGCGTGTCACCTCTCCCCCTCCCTCCACCTCGCCCCCTGCCTTGCTGGCTCCCAGTTGTCAGCGGTCCCACCAGCCTGGCTGTCCCGGGGAATTCCTCCCGGTTCCTGGAAAAAACAACTGGGGCCGAGAAAAAGGCCCTCAGTCTCCCCGGGCCCGGGCCCTCCCCCGGGCCTGGGGGTCGCCGGCCTGAGGCAGGAAGCCCTGCGGTTTCTGGCTTCTCCCCGGCGGCCTCCGGATCTGGCCCCCGCCCCCCGGCCAACAGCCCAAATATTATTCCGCAGGAGGAGTCGGTGGCGGCGGGAGGAGGCCCAGGTTGAAAGAGGCTTTCAAGGCAGCCAGGCCTGGGGCTTCCTGTCCCCAGGCTCGGGCCTCAGGCTGCCCCATTGGGGACCTCAGGTGGCCTGAGAGGCGGGGTGTTGTTGTAGGGTCCTTAGGGGAGGGTGGGGCCATTCGTCAGGGTGTCTGGTGGCCACCAGCTCGCCTGGCCTCGCCTGGCGTGGGCAGGTGTGACCCCCCACCCCAGGGACAGTCGGCTGGTGTCCAACGTGGAAAAGTACCACCGCCAGACGTGGGACAGACAGGAGGACGCCAGGGATGAGGGATGGGTCGGGATTGGGGGTGGGGGGAATATGAGAACACAGAGGGCTGAGTTGTGGGGCTGAAGTGACATAGTCTAAGGAAAAGCCCTGTGGGTGGGAAACTGAGGCTAGGGGTCCCATAGAGCTTCGGCACAGGGCTCTATGGGACACTTTGAGATGAGATAATCACCATTGAGGTGGCCCCAGCTGTTGGGCCAAGCAGCCCACACCTGTGTGTCTCTGTACTCAGGAGGCAGAGAGGCAGGAGGGTTACTGGTTTGGGGCCAACCTAGGTTACATGTGAGTATGTATCTCTTAAGGAGAAAAAAACAACAAGAAGTAATGAGAAATTTAAATAACCCTTGTCTAGGGCCCCTTACTTTATTATGGGGAAAAAACTGAGGGAGAAAGGTGCCTTGACCTTAGTCACACAGCTAATTATTGGGGTGCTAGGCAGGCCATGAGGCCGAGATGCAGTGCCCTGGACTTCCACCTATTCAAGAGGATACCTTCCACTTCCTGCCTCACACACAGAAGCCAGCTTGGGGCAGTACACGTGTGTGTGTGTGTGTGTGTGTGTGTGTGTGTGTGTGTGTGTGTGTGAGAGAGAGAGAGAGAGAGAGAGAGTCGTGTCTGTCATACAGCTCTATATATTTATTTCTTAGCGTCATTTTGATGTTGCTCTTCTTTAGTTCTGTGATGAGTATCTCAGCATAGTGGTGTGTGTGTTTCCGTATCTTTGTCACTGTCTTGTTCCTTGTCATCGTGTCTGTCACCTTTATCTGTCACTTTCTATGTGCAGCATGGTGTCTCTGTCCCTCAGACCTGTCACTCAGATCTGCCTATATTGGTCACTGTGCGTCACTGTGTCTGTCCACGAATGTGTCACCATCTACCCTGGTGCCAGTGTCGCTCAGGCCACAGGTGGGCGTGTCGGGCCTATTGGTGCCAGGACTGCGGCCCGGCCCTGCCTACCCTGGCTGCTGTGGTCCAGGCTGGACGCCTGTTTGCCATGCCTGCCTCAGGTAAACATGAGGATCCGGAGGCCCAGGGCACCTCCCTCACCTCTGCTCCTTACCCTTAGAGCTGCTCCCAGCCCAGCTGGCCCACAGCCCACTGCTGTGGCCCCAGGTCCCTGCACCTACAGTCCCGGTTTTGGCCTCAGCCTGGTCTCCTTCGCTCCGTCTCTGTCTTTCTCTCTCTCTCTCAGCAGTGGTTCTCAGCCTCCCTAATGCTGAGGCCCTTTAATACAGTTCCTCATATGGTGCCCGCCAGCCATAAAATCATTTTCATTGCTACTCATAATTGTCATTGTCATTTTGCTACTGTTATGAATCGTAATGTAAATATCTGCTATGCATATGTCCCCTGTGAAGAAGGTTGTTGGGTCCCAAAGGGGTCGTGACCCACAGGTTGAGAAGCAGTGCTCCAGGATCTCATGTAGCTTAGGCTAGCCTGGAGTTCACTGTAGCCGGGATGACCTGGACTCCTGTTTCCTCCTCCTCTACTGCCATAATGCTGACATTACAGGCACGAGCCCCCATGCCCAGTTTAGGGGGTGTTCAGGACTGAACCCAGAGCTGCTTTCACACTAGATAAACACTCTATCAAGGGAACTATGTGCCTAGCCTGTTTTTTATTTTATTTTTTTTAATGGAGTGCATGGGGGGGGCAGTTATTTGAGATACATAGCCCAGATTGGTCGGCAAACTCAGTTTGTAGCCCAGGAGAACCCCAAACTCTTGTTCCTCCTAACTTTACCACCCAGGTGCTGGGGTTACAGGCCACCACACCCATATTCCCTGAATTTTAATCTCTTGCTTTCTCTCTGCACCTACTTCCTCTCGCCTGTGTTCCCTGCCACGGCCCTTTTCTGCGTTCTGTCAATCTCTTGCCATCCTTTTCCTTCTCGCCAGCCAGGTTTGTTTCTCAGACTTGTCTCCAGCTTCAGAACCAGCTATTGTGTCTTCCAAGTCTGGGTTCTCCAGCTGCTTTTCTCTTAGTTCAAGTCTTGGCCACAGCGGCAGACTCTGCTGTGCCTTGGCCCTTCAGGGACAGAGCGGCCCCAGCCTCTGGCCCAGCCCGCTGGTATATATAAAAAGGTATATGCACATCTTATTTATATCTGTATGGGGGCAGGAGGGGCAGACACTGGGGCCTTTGTGTAGCCGCTGCCCGCTGCCCGGCACTCCTCTCCCTTCATCTCTGCCACCCGCCCCATTCACTGCCCCCCCCCCTCCACACAAAGGTTCCTGTGGGGCTTGCCAGCTTCCTCTGCCTGCCTTGAGGTGTGAGTGGGCAGGGCACAGGGAGGCAGATGGGGGACCCAGAATTTTTTTTTTCCAGGGCCTAGGTGGTTCTCCCCGTGGTGAAAATTCTGGAAAGAATAGGACTTCTATACCATGTTGCTGTCTGTATCCGTTGTCCCTGGTTGTCCTCAGGTCCATAGGTGGCCTCTCTCCCGGGGGTGGGTCTGCCTGTCCATCTACTTTCTCTGGCTCGTGGCTGCTTGTGTGTGGAACCAGGCAGCTTGCTACCTCAGGACCTTTGCACATGTCAACCACACTGATTTCTCTAGGCTTTAGTTTTCATGAACCTGTTCTAAAGATATCAACCTGAGATCCCTTTGCCTGGCCTATCTTTTCTTATGACCTGCGCCAAGAGCCGCCATGTTTTAAGGCTCCGTGTCTTCCATTTGAATAGTAACTCCTGGGGTGTCTTCCATTTGAATAGTAACTCCTGGGGTCAGAAACTGCTTTTGTGTCCCCGTTCTGAACCGCAGCAGCTTCTGACCCAGGACTTATCACACAATGGTGCATGAGTTTTATTTATTTTTTATTTTTATTTATTTTTTAACCGAGGTCAAGGATTCTGAGTACTTGTGCATCCCTTGGACCATGGTCCAAAATGGGCAGAGCTGGGATGAGGGAGGATAGGGACTGTGGGAGCTCAGAAGCGACCTTCCAGGCAGACTGGCAGTTGGGGAGGTACAGTGAGCAAAGCTGGGAGGGTAAGGAAGAACTAGCCAGGCCGTTTTCACCACGTGGGGAACAACCGAGGATTCAGGACAGGCCTGGCCTTGTACTTCTTCCCAGAGGTCTTCGGCTTTCTCTTTCCGGAAGCTTCCTAGTTTGAACAAGTTTGAAGTCTTAGTGTTGCCTACGTGCTTTCTGTTCTTTTCTCTTTTGCGTTTTGAGATGGACTGTTCCCATGCAGCCCAGGTTGGCCTAGAACTTGTGTTGATGTTTCTGCCTCAGCCTCTTGCATGTAGGGATTATGGCTATCACTCGGCATCCAATCCTCCCAGCTCCCGAGCCTGACTGGCATCTCTGTGCACCTGCCTTTCTCAACCTTTCTGGACATCTCTCCATTAAACTTTCTCTGAGCATTTGTTTTCTTTGGGGCGGGGAGCTGTTTCAAGACAGGGTTTCTCTGTGTAGCCTTGGCTGTCCTGGAACTAGCTCCATAGACCAGGCTGGCCTTGAACTCAGAGATGAACCTGCCTCTGCCTCCCAAATGCTGGGATTAAAGGTGTGTGCCAACACTGCCTGGTTGTTCTCATTCATTTTTGCGGTATTTTTTCCCCATGTCTCTGGCTCAGTGAATTTAAAAAAAAAAAAATTGTAGTGTTGGGATGGAACCCATGGCTTCCCAGATGCTTAGGCAAGTAAGTATTCTACCACCTAGCAAAAGCTTCCCAGACCCTCACTGGGGGATTCTAGGCAGGTCCCACGGAGTCACACACCGAGTCCCCCCACTCTAGGCAGGGTTTCTACCACTTAAGCCCCACTCCCAACCCTTACCAACAGGCCTCTTGTTCCTCTCTCTCACCTCTGCTGATTCCCACATTTTCTGGATCTTTCTGTAGAATTTTTCTTATTCTGCCTACTCCCCGGTTCCCAAACAAACCCCAAATCCCTCCGCCCTAACCCCACCTGACCACTGGGGAAAGGGGGACTGACCCAGCCTCCCCCCCCCACCTGCACAGGTCAGCACGTCTGTTCTGTTAATAGTTAACCCAACCTCTATCTAAAATACACAGCAGCCAGGCTGGGGGTGACTCCCCTGCCCCCCACCCACCTACCAGCTGCTCTTAAAGGACCAGGTGTCTTCCACAGCTGTGAGCCCTTCCTGGAGCAGAGTGGCCAGGTGTGAGGAGGCCTCTATTCCTGAGGTTTTAGGGGGAGGGTGAAAGCCCCACTACTTGGGGCTGCAGCCCTGGATCAGCTAGACTTTTGAAGGAGGGGCCCTCCATCCAGCACCACCCCTGGTGTGGTTTATCACCTGGTGTATTTAATCAGAGATGGTTTTCCCAGCCCTGCCCTGAGCCCCAGGCTATAAGTGCCGGGGTTGCCTGAGCACTGGGGTAGGGGGGACGGAACCCTTGAGCCCAAGAACTCAGAAGATAGTGGGATGTGTGCATGTGATATGTATTTAAGTGAATGGGGAGGGGGACCCTGGTAGTACACCGACGAGCATGTGACAGTTCGTGTTCAGGTTAGGGAACATCTGGGAGGACGATTGGGAGCACCCTTGGGTCTCAGAGCTGAGCATTGTGCAGTGGTGAAGACACAACCCCCGACTCTCACTGTGCAGGTATCACCCCTGTGGCTCCGCATTCCAATCCTTCCCCTAATCTCCCAGTAAGGGTCACAGTAGGAATGGGGCAGGGTTCCTGGGGCCATCCTCTCTTTTTAACCCCTGTTTTGCCACAACCTACTTAGGCCCCAGACCCCGCCCCCTGACGTCAGGGAGCAGGAAATCCTGGTTAATGATCAGTCACCCAGGACAGGTGCGGGACAAGGCCGCGCACACATCAGAAGCAGCCGCGGCGGGTGAGAGCCTTTTACTTAGCTCCTGGGTGTTCTAAGGTGGCCGCCATGTCCCCAGATGAAGGATGCGAGGAAGTTTCTCATTCTCAGGAGTGTCCACCTCTCGGACACCATCTGAAGTAAGAAGCCATCACCCTGCTTTTACGCATCTTATTTGCTCGGGAAGGTAAAGCTTACTTTCTCCGTGGGCAGTTCCCCTAGAAACGTACCTTCGGATAAATTGCCCTAGGAAGCCTCCTGCTTCCTTTCCACATTCAGAGTATCGGCCACCTACAGCGCATACCATTCCTATTCCCGGGCTTGTCTGTGGTCCCCAGGCAAGAGCCAAACCCTGTCAAAACCTCAGTTCCATCGTTTGCAAAACCGGCCTCGACTACACCTTTTAATGAGAGCACAGCAAATGTACACTACAAACAGCCGCCCGCTGGACAAAGGGCGCCACCTAGTGGTCACATCGCAGAAGTCCGCTCTCTCGCAGGACACGTCCAGTCCCGAAGGGGGCGCAGCATCTCACACAACTAAAGGGACCAAGTAGGGGGAAAAAAAAAAAAAACCCCAACCCATCTTTCGGTTTATTGAAGGAGGAAAAGGGTGGGAGGGTGCAATAAAATGCTTTTGCTTCATTTATAAAGAGCAAGTACTCAGGAGGTCCCTTCTCAAGGACAAGTGGGGTACCTCTCCCCCAACTACCAACAGCATAAAAGCCAAGCCAAGAAAGGAGAAGGTAATCGGAGGGGCCCAGGAACTCCAAACACCAGCTCTGACAGGAGCCACAAGCTCTACCCCCACCCACAATGTATCTACCCCAGGGGATCCATCCGGGCAGGGAAAGAGGGTATATACACAGGTTAGGGTGGTACCAGGTTGGGTGCGGTAGGGAATAATTTATCCGCAACTGCGGTGGGTGGGCAAGGGGGAGGGGAAAGTAGCCTGATGGCACTGATGGCCTAGGGGTCCCTTTCTTTCTTGACCTTGATATCTCCAGCAAGGATGGTAGCAATCTCGCCCTGCATAAAGGCCCAGGGGACAGAGGAGCCCACCAGCGGACACTTGTCTCCGCTGGGGCAGTACACCTCTCCAGCTGGGCCCTGCGCCTTGATGAATTCTCGGGAGCAAGGAAAGCAGAACTTGTGTCCGGGTACTGAGGGACACTGCACGAAGTGGGTGTCTTCCAGCCTCTCTCTGCACAGGGTACAGCACAAGGGGGCTCCAGGGGTCGCCCCTGTGCCGCTACCACCCCCGCTGACAGCTTCAGCCCCCGCCGTGGGGCTAACTTCTGCCTCTCCGTTGCGCGCCACCAGGCGATGCTGGGTTGGTGGTTGGGTCGTGGAGGAAGCTGCCGGGCTAGCGCCACCTGTACGCACAGAGCCTCCACCCCCACCAGCGTCCTTCGGTGAGTGGCCCAGGGCCTCGGCTACATTCTTGAGGGCAGCAATGGGTGAGGGTACACCAGGTGTGTCTGTAGAGTATGGACCACCTGGTGCCACCCAGTGCCGCTGCTGCTGTTCCTCTGTAGTCATCTTCCCAGCTGATTCGCCCTCGGGCTCAGGGGATGCCTTGCGCCGGCGAGGCGTGGGTGCCAGGTTCCGGGATGGGGCTCGAGGTGGTGGGCCACACAGAGCAGCTGGGGCCGGTTCTGGGTACTGCTGGGGCAGGGCCTCCGCAGGAGCAGGCTCTCGGAAGCTGCGGACCCCATCGGTAAGCAGCTCTCCCAACTGGCGCCATTCCCCTGAGCCATGGCGGCGTTCATATTCGAGGTACTTGAAGCCCGATGAGGCCAAGGCCTTGCCCGGCTCTCGAAGAGCATCATGAAACATCTGGCGAGCCACCGCAAGGACCCCTGCATACACATTGCCAGAACCACAGGGGTATTCAGTGAAGAGCTTCAGCTCGAACTCGTAGCCAGGAGGTCGGGCAGTGGCATCAAAGGCGAACACCCTTCCCACCAGCCCGTGGTCCTTCTTGAAGCGGACATTGAAAGGGGCACAGGCGGACAGCGCCAATAGCTGTTCTCGCACAGCCTTGGGACGCCCATGCCACTCCTCCGCCCGGCCCCTCATGGCCTCGTTCAGTTCTGCCAAACAGTCCGCATTCCTCTGCTGCTTCTCCTTCTCGAAATCAGAGCCGAAAAGTGGACGAGCGGGGCTTAAGCCAGGTGCCAGCGTCAAGGCTCGGCCTCCGAGGCCAGACACTGCAGCTGCCAGCAGCCCGGGGGGCATCAAGCTGGGGATGGAGCCAAGCAAAGCCCTGCGTGCCCCTTCCGCCACGGCCTCCTCGCGGCCCAGCCCGTTGGCCAGGCGAGACCCCAGGGTGTACTCCAAAGCCGGCGAAGGCAGCGCCAGGCGGCTGGATGAAGTAGCCCTGTCATAGCGGTCCGGGCCTGAGACGCTACCTCCGGTCCCCGATGGCTGCGCCTGGGCCTGCGGGGGTGGCAACTGGGAGCCCTGGGAGCCCGTGGTGGCCAGGTCCTTGGAGGTCGGATGCTTGAGAGCCGGGGGTCCCGGCGAGCGGCCCTCAGGGAGCACGTGGCTGCGCTTGAGCTGGCGGGCGGCGTCGATGAGCAGCTCGATGCGGTCCGCGCCCTCGAAATTCACGCATCCACGGCACACGGCCTCGCTGAAGTCCCACACCATGGCCCACGGCATCTTGGGCAGGTCGCACAGGTAGCACCACTGGCGGCGGGACGCTTGCACGGACGCCATGGCGCCCCCCGGAGCGCCGCCAGGTGCCCCCGCTGTGCACCCTCCGCCCACGTTCGTCGAGCCCGGGGACGGGCGCGCGAGCCACTCAGTCTGGCCTCCGGCTCGGCCTCCCCGCCGGATTCAGGCCCGGCCCCCCTTCCCCGCCCCCTGGGCCCTCAGCCTTTTTTTTTTCCTCCTCACTCCCGCCTCCCGTGGAAAAGGCAAGCCACGAGCACGCACGTCGGCGCCCCCGTCCGGTCCGCGCCGTGAGCCGAGATGCACAGCTCCAGCTCTTTGATGGGCCTCGGGTGCCGCCGCCCCGGGCTCCCGCCTCTCGCGCTGCTGCCGACGCCGCTGCAACGGCCACCACCGCCGCCTCCACCTCCTTCTTCTGCCCCAGAGGCCGCTTCGCAGGGAAAGTTACATAACGCGAGGGCAAAGCCTTCTGGGAAATGTAGTCCCGTTGGGGCTGCTTCTTAAAGGGAACTGGGCAGAAAGCAGTGGCGGGAAGAGTGGGCGCGCGCAGTCTTCTGCATGCTTAATCTTCAATGTGCTTCGCCAAGAAGCCGGGGTTCGCACACAAGGTTTACGGGACGGATCATGGATTCAGAAATGCTTGGAGCGGACAAGTTCGAGGCATGCAATCCCCCCCCCCCTTTTTCTTTTTTTGGGTTTTTCGAGACAGGGTTTCTCTTTGGTTTTGGAGCCTGTCCTGGAACTAGCTCTTGTAGACCAGGCTGGTCTCGAACTCACAGATATCCGCCTGCCTCTGCCTCCCGAGTGCTGGGATTAAAGGCGTGCACCACCACCGCCCGGCATCCCCTTCTTTTTTGAGATTTGAATTTATTCTTTAGCTTAGGCTGGCCTAAAGGCTAGCCTTTGTAGCCTAGGCTGGTTTCAGACTTGCTGCAATCCTTCTGCTTCAGCTTCCCTAGTGTTGGGATTACAGTCCTGAGACTCCATACCCAGAACCCGGCAAACATTCTCTGCTCTGACTTGCTGAGCAGTTTTAGAGAAAAGTCTTGCCCTCTCTGAGAATCCCGCCCCTTCAGAAGGGCCAATGACGGGTTAGGAAGGCAGCAGCAGTTTGAGATGGGGCGGAGAGGTTCTGATTGGATGGTTTTAAGTTTAAGGGACCGGGAAACAGGCAAGTGTCCTGGAGAGGGGTGTCTACTTGGCACTTTGTCGTCCCCCGGAGTCCTTAGCCTCGAGGGAGGCCCACTGGCAACAGGATGAGAAGAGAGAGGGCTGAAGGCTTCAGAGCCAGGGCCTTATCTGTTAAAGGAGGGGCACTGAGCGCCTTCCAATTCTGCTCCAGCTGTGCACGCGCTTTGGTCTTCAAAGGGTTACACAGTCAGCTTCCCCGCGCTCCCCCCAATTTCACTACAATTCCCAAAATGCTCTGCAAGACGGACGAAATGACGCACTTCCTCTGCTTGGAAGGTTGGGGGAGGCCTTCCCGATTCTTGCCCCCCCCTCTCCGCTTTGCTAAAGGGAATCTTTCCCCCCCCTCCCACCATGGGAATGGGGTGGGGGTGCTTGGACTTGGATTGGGAGATCCTAGAGGTGGTTGCAGGGAGGGCAACGCCAGACCCTCAAATGCTTAATGACCTGGTGGGCCCCATCTGCCTCTGGGTACCCCATGTTTTCTCAGATTATGGGGGAGAAGCGATGTATGTCGTCAGGTTTTTGTTTACATCAGCCTTTTCCCTTCACTCGGCCTGGGTCCCCGCTGATGCTCCCAAGAAATATCTTGAGTATGTTGTCAATTTGCATTCAATCATCCGGGTTTGCACTCCGTAGAAGCTGCCTGCTTTCTCACCTCATCCCAGGGTTGTCACAGCAGCCCTGGAGTTCTGCTATTTCAGCGTCACAATTTTACCTACCACCTGCACTACTATTTTAACACTTTTCTCCTTTAAGCGAATTGCCTATTTTCGTCGTTTCCTGGGAGATACTATGTTCGCAACCATTGGTTTCGTGTACTACTGTTTATTTACTTTCTCTTGCTTATTCTTGGTGCTGGGATGGAATCCAGGGCCTTATGCTAAGTGTTCTGCCGCGGAGAAGTACTACCAGCCGTATTTTTTTTTGTTTTGAGACTGGGTCTCACTAAGTGGCCCAGGCTGGCGTGAAGCTTTAGATCCTCCGGCGGGCTGAGATTTCAAAAATACTTAAATAAGCCTGGCTTCAATTTTTTCTTTTATAAAAACAGGCTTCGCAGGCTAACCGGTGGTGGTGCACACTTTTAATCCTAGTACTCCGTAGGCAGAGGCCGGCGGTTATCTGAGTTCGAGGCCAGCCTGGTCTACAGAATGAGTTCCAGGACAGCCAATACTACAGAGAAATCGTGTCTAGAAAAACCAAAACCAAAACAAAAAAAAAAAAAAAAGAAACAACAGTTTGGCCTTGAACTCCTGTCAGCCTATTACTGAATTGCAAATGTACGCCGTGATCCCCTGCTCTAAATTCTTACAATTGTAAACGCCTATTTTTAAATTCTGTGTAGTTCTTGGGAATCTGACCCTCAGGCAACTGTCTTTACCGGAGTCATCCATCCAAGCTGCTTTAACGAACTGCTCTCCTAACACAGGCCTGCATGAATGTTAACTAATCTCAAATTTGAAACATAGGTTGAAAACCTTTTTTGGGGGGGGATGCAGGGTGTCGTTATTGTTGTTCAGGCTGTCCTCAAAGTCAGTTTCTTGCCCTCAGCCATCTGAGCAGCTGGGATCACAACCTTCACTCTGGGCTTCCATACCAGGGTCAGTTAAGGCTTTTAGAAAGACAAGTTCAGGAGGTGTGGCCTGCAGAGGATGAAGGGAATAGTCTTAAATGCTGTGCTCTCACCCAAGGCCTGTCTCAGAGCCCAAAGTTGATTGTATGAAAATAAGTTTATTGACTTCTTGTCAGCACTGAGAAGAAAAGGGGGAGCTGAGCTGGGGAGGTCAGACACACGACACAGCAACGGGAGGCAGAGGACCCAACCTATACCTCCCCCATCAGAATCCCGCCTCCCCCTCCCGAAAGGAAGTGGTCCTCTTCTACATTCTCATTTGTCTAGCAAACGCCCAACCCTTCCGAAGTCGGCTGGGGGAGTGGGGATGTCCGCACGCGGCTGGGGGAGTGGGGATGTCCGCACGCGTTGCTTCTCTTCAAGACAAGAACAGCAACTCTTAGGCAAAGGGGCATGTCGCAGAGCCAGGAGGTCCCCCTCCCACCCCACATGGGGCAATATAACAACATAAAATTGATGGCTTACAAGTTGGGGGTTACAGGAGGCAGTCAGGCAGACACCACTGTACCAGAGAAAGGGGCTGAGGGCTTCCCACCCAGGGAACCCACTCAGAGAATCAGGCACTAACTAGCACAGGAAGTGGGGTGCTCACTTCCCTAGAGCAGGAAGCCAGGGTGCAGCTAGGATGGGCAAAGAGCAGCTTCCTCCTCGACTGTGCCAAGCAGGGAGAGGGGGTTGCAGGCAGGAGCGTAGACGGGAGTAGATTTCACGGAGACTTCCAGCGACTCCGCCTCTTCCGTGTAGGGAAGCCTTTCTTCCTTTTGTGTGGTGGTGAGTCGTGGAGGAGTACTGGTGGAGCTGGGGGTGGTTTGGGCACCCCTTCCTCGCTTCTAGGGGAGATGATCACTCCCCTAGCTGCTACTACAGCCCCATCCACGACAGCAGCTACCACGGACACAGGCTCTGAGGGGACCTCCACCTTGGGGGCAGGTGGTGGAAGAACTGGCTTGGGAGGTGGGGGCGGAGGCGGAGGCGGGGGCGAAGGCTGCGGGTCAGCTGGGGTTCCCGGCAGAAGGGGTAACAGGGCGCTGAGGGCCTCGCTCAGTTTGGCCAGTCCCTGCCGAAGGGTGCCAGCCAGCTCCCTGATGGCATTGGCAGTCTCCTGCTGAGCCCGCAGAAAGTCCAGGGACTGTTCTGGGGCTGAGGTGGGCCGAGGAGGTGGTGGGCTAGGGGATGAAGGTGCCACTTGGGCCAGCGGCGTGGGTGGCGGTGGAGGGGCAGGGAGAGGTGAAGACAAGGCCAGGCGGGGCAGCTGGACAGGCTGCATGGCTGCAGGGGACGGGGACTCACCCTCCTTGGCTTCAGGGACATTGCAAGAGGGCCGGGCAGAGGACTCTGGGCTGCTGGAGCCCCCTTTGCTCTGGGCTGCGGTATCTGTAAAGAGAGAGACCTTGGGTAAGTTGTAATGAGTCTGCAAGGCTTCATTTCCCGATTTGGCTTCCTGGCCCCCAGAACAATCTCAGTTCCTTCCTCCTCTGATGAAACAGGGTCTCTAACCTGCAAGTCCTGACCCTCTTGCTTCAGCTTCTAAACGCGGGTAGTACAGGTGGGCTCTACCATACCTGGCTTGACTTTGCCTTTTAGACATGCTGGCACACACCCGTTAACCCAACTGCTTAGGAAGCCAAAGCCAGAAGGAGATTGAGAAGCTGAATGCCTGCATCCACTGCTCACCCAACTTGGATTATATTACACCATATACACCCCTTAAAAAACAACAACCAAACACCCTAAGATCTCTTCCACCCTAGGAAACACACACCCCCCAAAACCCGAACAGCTATCAAGACTCATGCCTGAAATATTTGTATTCTGGAGCATGAAGCCGGAGGATTGGTTGGCGCTCAATCTGGGATGTATAGAGAGACTGTGTCTCAAAAACAAGAAAACAAAACAAAACACCAAACCCAGTTGTAATACCACCCAAGTTAGAGCATGTCAAGAGAACAGAGGCCTGTGACATCAGTCTCTGAATGCAGAGTCGTCGATGCATTAAACCTGGTGGCCAGCTTCAGAGGACAAAAGCCTTCAAAGTCTTGCTGTCCCCGTAGGTAGCAAGAGGCTCTGTGTGCTCCCCAGAGTTCAGAATCATCTGGACACTCACCATTCACCTCTCAGCTGGAGTCCCTGGAGAGGAGACAAGAATGGCTGGCACGCTGGCCACACTTCCTGGAAGCTCTCTCCAGCCATGAAGGCAGGGGAAGGGCTTCCTAGTTCTGTCCCTGCCTGCTGGGCTTCCCAACCTGGGACCTGATTCACACTCTTGGACTTGAACAGTCTGCCGGGAGGACTAAGGTCCTGGGTGACCTGAACCTTTTCCCTGAGCTGGGGACTGGGGCTCTCTAGTCTTCAGGGGGAATTCTTCGAGTCTGTGCACTGTCTACTGACACTCCCAACTCAGCACTGAGCTCCTGACCTTCCTCTTCCACCCCTGCCTCAGAGACAGCCGCTCCATCCTTTAGCTGGGGCTAAAGTACGTCCTTCATTCATTCCCCGTTCTTTTCCTATGCTGGCGCTGGAAGAGTGTTTCATTCATGCTAGGTGTGTGCTCCATCAGCAGCCTGTGTCAGGGAGTGCAGGAGTGTACATGTGTGAGGGATATGTGCACCCATGTGGACGTGGA